AAGAAGCCTTCAAAGCAGTATCAAAGTCAACAGTTCCATGATGCATTGTAGAAGAGGAACCCCTTCTTATTCCACAGAAGGTTTAGTTTGAGGTTACTGCACCTTCTGAGTATTTGCTGTAGTGGGAAGTCTGATGAGACGTTCCCAAAACAGGCAGTTCCCAGAATACCAAACCCATTTAAAGATGTAATTTATGCAAAGCTTGCACAATGCAACATCTCTAAATCCATATCAGGTTTAATATGATGACCTACAGGGACCTAGAGGCATCCATTAGCATTCCAGAGCTTCACCTCCAAACTCCTACATGTAATCCCGAACACCAGCACAGCAGAACACAGTAGCACTTAGTTGCACTTAACTAACCATTCCCCCACTAACCTCTCAGTTCAAGCAGCACAGCGTCCAACAGGTTTTTACCATACCTCACACATAGAAGTTTCAACACCATGAATTACTGATGCCACCACTCCAAACAAATTCTTTGGTCATACTACTCATTACCTGAGTTTTATCTCAATAAAGATACTATGACTCTTTAGGATTTGCTTTGTTTGCAGTCTCATCCATACATTAAACAGCCCCACAGTCTGAAAACAGGGAAACAACAGGTTTTTGTCTTTTTACCCTATCCCACTCAGTCCCCCATTCTATCACTACCAAAGAAATAGCATTAGTCTACAACTACGCAAGAGGTAGGTGAAGTGCACTATACTGATAATGGTTTTAGACACGCAACCTGTTTCAGTGCTGCTTTTGAAAAAGCAGACAACACATTTTCTCACTTCCATAAAGCAGAGAACAGGAGGAAGAAAATCTTCGTAACTCGGAAGTATCACACACACGATATTCCGTGCATCTATATACATAAACCTACCTTGAAAATGTGTCTCTAAAAGGCCTGCTGGATATACCTGTAGTACTAAACTACTTCAATCCACAGCTCTGACACATCCCAATATGCATGGAAGTGTGGAAACAGTAAAGAATATAGGCTTTGTGACAAAAATCTCATGCTCAGCTATGATCAGCAGGTGCTAATCATTACAGCTAACAGCATAAGAGTTATATTGTTCTGCAGGTCTTCAGGTGCACCTGATAAATCAGGGCACACTGCTAGGTAGTTTAACCATATGTGTACGAATTTTTTGACAAAAAATTGCTTGCCCTGACCTAACAATTATTACATTTTCTGGAGGACTTTCATAGTGTTTCAGGTTTCTAGTATATATTTCATAAACTGCAATTATAATGGTGTTGGGCTTGAAGTCATGACACTACCCATGCTTGTAGTCTTCAAAAATGAAGATAACTTGATGGTCAGAAAGTCTTTAAAATAAAGTTTCTAAGAAGGCAATGATCCACAACCTGCCAAAGAACGTTCACAGCAGTTTAGGTGTACCGAAGTCACATTTAACAGAAAAGGTGACAAAAGATAGCAAAAAAAAAAAAAAAAAGAAAAAAACAGCACGTGCTGTTCACGATAAGTGAACAAAAAGACAAAGGTAGATAAATACCTGCAGAACTGAACTTACCACCTCCATTCTTCTAGTGCATCACAAAAGCAGTGATTACTGCAGCGGGAAAACCTTTTTCCCAGCCTCAGAGGTAGATGCCTTACACTGTATCCTAAGTTATCAGCAGTAACAACTCTGAGTTCCCAGCGTATAAGCAAAACAGGCAGCAAGATCTCCTAGTGCCCTTCTCCTCCTTCTCATTTAAATAGCACACTGTCTTAAGCAACTGCCTTTTTCTTACCTCTACAGAATGTCAGAAATAGAGCTGGCTCTAGACAACATAAAAGAAAGACCAGTACACCTACATCTAAAAGCATTAAACCTCACCAACAGTAATTCCATATACTTCACACAGAAGACAAATTCCCTTCTGTGACTGAGTTTGGATGCAAGTTAATTTTGTTCTGCTTCAAGGACAATCAGCTTGCTGGTAACTGTTAGCAGAAAACAAAAGTCACCAATTAAATTTAAAATATTATTAAAGTAATATGGTCTGTCTGAAGTATACCCCCTATTTACACAGGATGAAAAAGGATTTGATGTACCTTCCCTCAAATAAATGCAACATAGCAGATCTACTACGGAATATTTGTCCTCTGATTTTAATCAGTAGCAGCTAAATTCTTTCACAGTTGCCTCCTCCCTAATACATTACATTTAGAAACGTCAATAGATCTAGCCACAGAAAAAAAAGCACACAGGCATGTTGCCTTAGCATCCAGGTTTAAGTATTCTTCACCATCCTCTAATATCCTTGGCATAAAGGATACTATTCCTCACCTTCTCCCCTCTGTTTTTTAGTACTTTAAAAAAATACTAAAAATATTTAAGATATTTCTAACTACTTATCATCAAAAAGCTTCCATGAACACAATGCAGAATATCCTGTGTCATACAGTCATTCAAGATCACATCTTCAAGAGAGGCTCATTTAAATGCAGGAGTTGAAGCAACCTCCAGTGTCAGACTGTAGTGTCCAATATCATTTTACATGCTATCAGTGACTTGATTTTGCAGACAAATCTAACCAAGATGCCCTTTCTTTATCTTTTAAAGCAGAAATAAAAAAAAAAAAAAAAAAAAAACCCTCTTCTATGCAACTGTAACACAGAAATTAATCAAAAAGGTCTTGACTGTGATTTCTTGTCTAGTATTAACAAAAAAAAGCACATGATAACACTATTGTAGAACAGATTTCCTTCTCCTTCCCACCCTGCATTTTATCTCAGCTATACATTAATCTGAGTGATATTATGGAAAAAAAAAATTAATGTAAATATGGCAAGCTTTATAGCAAGTTAATAAATCCAAAGACAGAATGAACTAGGGTTTCAAAAGAAGAATTTAAGAAATCCCACAACTCACATGCCAACATAAAAGCAGACTGGAAACAGTACATTGTTGTCAGGAACAATATTTAAAGCAAGGCTGAATATTGGGTTTATTCTGCCTGCTACCACACTTCCTTCACTTATCCCCCAACTTCTAGTTTCATATCAGAACAGCAAATCCACTAGTAAGAAGACATATTAGTAATAGTAAAAGAGCTGAATGAAATTCAGAACCACAGCCAGAGAAACAGCCCTTTACAACAACTCCTAATAGCAAATAAAATTAGTCGATTATCATAGTCTAGTTTATTAAAAAATGAAAAAAACCCGCAATTTAGTCAGTTTCCTCTAAATTGAAGCTCTTATACTGTGGCTTTCACACATATTACTTGTTACTATGAAGTTACCTTGTATTTGTATTTGGAACACACATTTTTGCGTCCTTCTACTATCAGGAGGTGGTATTTTAGTATAAAATATTTATTTTACAACAGTGATGACTGATATTTAAGCATATGTTAAGTTTCCTCTTTAAGGAATATACATAAAAATATTTTAAGGAATATATATATGATAGATATTGTATAGCTAGACGTTACTGACTCTTATGTTTCCAAATTTGCTTCAGTTCTGTCTTACTGTTCCTAATAAATTATAAATCTTTTAAGTAAAAGTTAACAGACAATACTAAAGGCTGAATCAATTATTTCTTTATTCTTTTAACAGGTTAAGCAGGAAGGAAATACATCATGAATAAAAGAGACTAATTTAAAACTGATCACTAGATGAGCTGACAAAAGTGAGAAGCTTCTCTTTTAAAAGAAAACCTCAGCCTATGCCAAAGACCAGGAGCAGAAACCACAAACAGAACCAACTTTAGAACCAAAGAGGACTCTGGGAACTATGTCAACCTCAGACAAGATCCCCACCCATGTTTACCTCCATTTACACCCCAGTATCACTAACACCTTTTCCAGGGAGCAGTCTGTGACCTCCCCCTCCTAGCCCCCCCCCACACACACACCAAAAAAAATTGTATACACACACACACACACAGATGTTTTCTTATCTCCATCCCTCAACAACAGCTTCATTGCAGCTGTGAGGCAGAAACAAATAGAGGCAATGGAAATCACCTTTCATTTCCACTATTCTCATCCCTTTCCTCATTAGCAGAGATATGAGAAGTCACCTCTGAAACTTACCAACACTACAGGATGATCAGAAGGAGAATGCAGATAACAAGGTCTTTGGAACCGCCTGTGTATGAGATAAACCCAGCAGAATGGCAGATGGGGCCATTCTAGCCCAGGTATCTCACCCACACACACACCTTTTACCCAGGCTGAGAATCAGAATTAGACGCTTCTAAATACAAGACTGGGAAATTCCGAGCGACCCCAAGGCTCCCAGCGCTGCACGAGGAACCTCCACCCAAACTCCCCTTACTTGGAAACGCATCACACAGCGACGCGAGAAGCCTCCAGCCCCGCACGGCAGCCTCCCGCCTCAGCCGTGCCCGCAGCTCACTGCGCGCAGCCCCCAGGTTACAGCGCTTGCGGAGAGGTAAAGGCGCGGAGGCGCTGCCTGGGGCACCCCCTCGCCCCCAGCCCAGGGGTTACTCCTCACACCCGACCCGACCGCGCTCCCCTCTCTCGGGAAGCCGCCTCCGCGCGAGGAGAGGGCGGCAGGCCGGGGAGAGGGACGCCCCTCAGGGCCAACCCCGGGCTGCTCCGTGCCCAGCCGGGGGCAGCCGCCCGCCCGCCCTCCCCCTGCCCGCTCCCAGCTCGGCGCTGGAAGCCGGGAGCCAGGCAGAGAGAAGAACCAGCCGCAGCCGCAGCCGCTCTCCTCCCTCTCTCCCTCCCTCCGCTCCCTCCCTCCCAGCCCCGCTCACCTGGGAAAGGCGCCAAGGCGCAGCTCCTGCTCCCCGTCTCCCCCGCGCTCAGCCGCTCGCCGCCATTTTCCTCGCTGCCCACATTTAAATAGGAACCGGCCTCCGCCAGCCGCCCGGCGCGGGGCGCGCTGGGAGCTGTAGTAGGGCGGCGCGCGGGGCAGCGCGGTACTTGTAGTGTCACGGGGAGCCACCGCCCCAGCCGCCCCCTGCCCGCCCGCCCCCGGGGGCTCCCCTGGGCCGTGCTGGGGCCCGGCTCGCTGAGGGGTCGCCCTCCCCTTGCAGCTGAGGGGGGGTTAAGGGGGAAGCCGTGTGGATACAGGGTTTAATGAAGAGCTTTTTCTACGTGTGAAGGATCACAACGCTGCGAGGCGCCAGCCCCGCACTGCGAGATAGCGGCTGGGGGGCTTTGCTATACCGAATCCGAGCTGTGCCATTGCAACAGGGGAAAGCCAGGCTGCTTAAGTCAATGCTTAAAATAACACGAACAGGTTGGAGTGAAAGGTAAGAAGTACACAAATAATACCCATTATTCCCTACTGCAGCTATACGTTAGAGACAGTTTTCAAGCGAAGTCAGAATAGACGTTCAGTATCCATCTGTTTAAAAAAAATAAAAGGCAAGGACATACAAGACTGGGACCTCAAGTAGTACAACCTAGCCGTGCCCCAGGTTTGCTAGCAGAAATCCTCTTTTTTAGTAATTTTTAAAACCAGAATTCAAACCATTTCACATTAAAATAGGATGTGTGCAGAATATGGTATAGCGAGGTTTCAGGTACTCATAAAGGTGGTGTATATATATTTCCAAAATTGAAAGACTGGTTTCATAGAGCACAAAATAATGAAAATGCACAAACTGAAGACCTGCCAAGCTACTCGTACAGAATCCCTTACAGGGCCATAGCCACAATTTGTATTAAAAAGGGACAAACTAATGGAGCAATTAAGTATACCTTCTAGTAATTCCCAAATAAAAAATAAAATAAAATAAAATAATATTGGGCACCTATGAGTAACTTACTAGTACAATACAAGCCTCTGACTATCTCTGAAACAAACATTACAAACCAAGTGAATACAGAGCTGAAAGAAATCCGAATACGTCGAGTTCTGGAAAAACAAGTTTCACCTTAGATTTTACCTTGTAGTTATACTACGAAAGAACTTGCCAATTAAAAATGTGTGTTTGGACTTGTGAACTCAGTTTTAACCAACTGATAGAGACAGAATCTTTATCATGTTATCACAGCAGGAAAGAGTTGATGTTGTTAGGGTATCTTAAAAGAAATGAGGTCCTGTTGCATCTCCCCAAAGTGTAAGTTCTGCTATTTAATGATTCCATTTCTTCCATTACGAGTTATCTTTTTCCGCAGGATGTTCTCTTCTTCCACTATGGATTACAATGGAGCATTCACCATGACAAGAACAAAAGAGGTGTGCAGGGAGGAATAGGTTGATGACAGACAACAGCAACACTGAAATTTAGTTGTGTTTTTTGTTTGTTTGTTTTGAACAACTACACCTTGTTCATGTTTTTTTCCCCATGTAGGCCATAAGGTCTTTCAATTATACTTAGATTGAATCTAAGACATTTTAGACTCAGCACTAATTCAGAACTTCATGTCTCCAAAGTGTGTATATTTGTTTTCATTTTTAACCTTTTTCAGTTTTAGCAATTAGAAAGATAATTTCAAAGGTAGCTCACTTTATATAATGAAGGGTACAATGATAAAACACTTTCACTTTTCATTGATGCGATGCTCTACAGAAACTAGTAATAAACTCCCTCAAATTTTTGTACTTAGAAGCTGATAGTAATTGTTAAATGTTGCAGTTCTACAGCTACATTTTTATCTATTTGCTCCACCTGCTGGTGCATTTTTCTTTAAAGAAATCTTTAGAAGCCTAAACATATAAAAAAATTGGCCAAAGATATACCCTAAGAGGCATACTTGACTTTAAGGTTAATTTATGTAATATACTTATTAAATTCAACCTGATCCCAATAATTTTTCAGTCAAAAAAAGCCAATGGATACATAGACTTAGGGAAACATGACTCATAGCTTACTCTTTGGACAATGCCATTCATTTTTAATGTGACAGTAACACAGAGGGTCATCATTTTCCATCATCTATTATTCTTCTCAAAAAAAAAAAAAATGTTCTGTCTTTCATATGGGAATCTCTCTACATAACTGATTTGCCTCCTGAATTTTCCAAGATAACTTTCTTTTTAGACAATTAGTGTGAGGGAAAGTCCTGTTTCTTCAGCACATTTAATTGTTCTCTGCTCAGAGACAGAAAAAAAAATTTAAAACACCAATCAAAAAGCACTCTCTATTGGAAGTTTCACATAATAGATTACTTTCCATTCCCTATATATATATATATTTTTTTTTAATTTTACATTTAAGTGCAAGGAAAAGGTAAGAATAGCCCATCAAAAGCAACCTTCCAAGGCTATGATATTTTCCAATAATACTCTAGGACAGAAGGAGCTTTCCATCCCTTCCTCCCTTACCAAATAATTAGAAACAGTAAATGTGAAAAGAAAAGCAATCCTCACAAACAAATTTTTGGTATTGGATTTTTTTTTTCATCATCATCATTCACACACCATTAGTTTAGGGTTCTTTGATCTAACCAGTTTAATCAGAACTAAGGTGGATACCATTAACCCCAGGTTTTCTGGAACTGAACTGGCACTTTTTGACAAATGGAAAATTTTAACTTATTTCTGTATTATTTTAATAAGTTTTCTGTACACTGCACCAAATTGATTGCAGAATGCTTGTCTAAAGTTGGAGAGAATATACACTGTCCAGGAAATTTTAATTAGCATAGCTGGAAGAGAAAAGGTCTTCTGGCACTGAATAACAATCAAAGAAAAACAACACTGTTAAGAAATGGTTAAAGACATTGAAAAACTGCAGTATACTTGGGGAGACTGTTTGTAATTTATTTTTAATAAATCCAGACTACATATATACCCCTCTTTCTAGACTACCAATTCATTTTGCATGGCTAATCTGCTTAACTGACCAGACTACCAAAATTAACCGATTAATGTAATTTTAAAGGATGATTTAACAAAAAAAAAAAAAAAAAAAAACTCCAGTGTAAAATGAGATGCACCAGTAACACAGCTTTAGAGAATTTTTCTTTTAAATGGAGAAAGTTCTCCTCATCGGTATCTTACCAAGTGATGAATCAGAAGCAAACTTATGTTGAAAACAGTTTTTGTTCTACGCATTATGGATTTCACATTAAATAAAAACCAAAACCCTATGTGCAACATACATTGCAGTATTACTGCAATTGTGTTTTTTGTTTGTTTGTTTTTTAAGCAAGCTCTCACTAAAGTATAATTTTAGCTTAGACAATAACTGATGAAATTATAAAAGGAAGGTGTGGGGAGCTGGGGGTCAACCTCTTCTCACAGGTAACTAGTGATAGGACTAGAGGGAATGGCCTCAAGTTGCACCAGAGGAGGTTTAGGTTGGAAATTAGGAGAAATTTCTTCTCAGAAAGAGCAGTCAAGCATTGGAATGGGTTGCCCAGGGAGGTGGTGGAGTCACTGTCCCTGGGGGTGTTCAAGGGAAGGCTGAACGTGGTGCTTGGGGACCTGATTTAGTGGGTGACATTGATGGTAGGGGGTGGTTGGACCAGATGATCTTGGAGGTCTTTTCCAATCTTAATGATTTTATTTTTACCTGAATTCAGGTATTCACATTGCATTAAAAACCACACATTTTGACATTCTATTTGGTTACCCAGGGAAAAAAAAAAAAAAAAAAAAAAACACAGACAAATTAACTGAAATGAAAATACAGCTTAAGTAGAATTAAAAACAAGCCCGTGTATTTGTTGCAATCAGACAGACACACATTCAACATAACCCACAGTACACTGTTGGTTTCAAGGTAGAGTAACTCTACATTTTAGGAGATAATTGTAAAAGCATCAAATAGAAGTGTTAGAATGATATTGTTTGTAAACATCACTCTCTTGTTTCTGGTCAGTAAGTTCATAAAGTGACTGCCAGCTACTGACACTTAAAGCTAAACACCTAAAATTTAATACTTTACAATATATCAGCGCTCTTCCACCCATTTCTCTAACTGCTAGAACTTTCTGTGGTGACAGTCAACATTCAGATCGTTTAAGAAAGGCAGTACAAGTGTGCTTTCAATTTAAGTAGATGTAGCAACCCATTCTAATACTAAGAAACAAATACAGATGAAATATTGCTTTTGTCATCCCAGTTCACTTATCTACAACATAATGAAACAATTTGCATAGTTACACAGCATTCCAAAACACTGAGCATTTAGAAATTCTTATGTTTGCAGAATTTGCTAACTCTAGCTCCAAGACAACATCCTCTGTGTTTAGAACTTAGAATAATTAGTTTTTAGTAGACTTTTAAACAGGAGCAGGCAACAGTAACACCATCATCCAAATCCCTTATGCCACTATACAGCCTTCAAACTATTCTGCTTCAAGTGGTCAACTCAAAACCTTTTTAAGAAGAGGATGCAAAATATATCGGCTTAAGAATTTGTCTTGATTTTGGGGAAAAAAATTGAAAAGAAAATCTGTTCATTCCTATCACACTGTTCAAAACCAGAAATGCAAATTCGTAATGTAAGATTTTCTGCACTAAGAGATGCTGTTTTATCTTTAAAACAAAATAAAAATAAAATAATCTTAGATACTCACTGAGAGGAAAGGAAAGTTATAAGTAAAAGAATATAATTTTGGTTTTCCAAAGCAGGTGAATGGTAGTATTTTACATTTTGATGTGCACACACGTGACTATGCAGAGCACTTCTACCCTATAAAGTTTACAATTAGATTGTTAGAAAATACTACATACAATTGCTCTGAAAGTCTTAAGATTCACATAAATTAATGCCTTAAATGTTTAAAATACTTAACAGGATCATTTATTATAACATCACACCACTAGGGAACATGCCTCAACATCTGTGCTAACGGATTTCATGCAACTTCAGCAAAGGCTACACGGTTGAAACAGGAACAAGTCAACATCTAATTTGATTGTTACTCTGTGACATTCATAGTTCTCTGGAGGAAAAAAAAAAAGCATACTGATAAAACTGTTAAAAAAACAAAAAACAACAAACAACCCCCCAACACATACCCCAACATATTGCATAGTCTTTAGCCTAGACCTTAAGCATAGGCTGACTTGTCTGTTTCATGGCACTTAGGACCTGCATTTCTAAGACTTTTGAAAATCCTGTCTGAGACTTCGCACTAGTATTTCTACAACAATACTTCAAATAAAAAAATTACAGTCTTTAATATATATATATATATATGGCCATCGTGAGTGTTGTGAGTGGATTAAGAACATCCAAGAGTGTTATCAGTTTATTCAAGTGGTAGTATTAGTAACATACTTTCTGGTAACACTTGCCAAAAAGGTCTTTAATGTTCCAAGTTATCTAGTTTCATGTGCCTAGAAATGGATACTGGAACCTACACCCCCTCTGGATTCAGTCTGAAAGTTTGCTAACTTAGGTATAAACACACTGAAATCGACAAGAACTTCAGGCTTGCAGTTGCAGTATACTTTAAACACTGCCTTTTGAGCAGCATGCTGAGAAATACTTGAAGGCTAGGCAAATCTCATTCGAACTGCTCAAGAGGTGGTACTTTCACTGAACAAGGCATTCAGTAGTACTTAAGTCCATTAAAAGTATCAACAAATGTAGTCTAGTTCCATAGTACGCACTTTTAGTAGAAATGTATAGGTTTATGTGAATAATGTAATATTCCTACAATTTAGTCACACAGAAGGTTATGGCAAATAAGAAACTGTGTTCCTGAAACTTATTCAACATCAAGATATCAACATCAAGACCTAAGAGAGTTATTTACAAAAATACCATTAATCTCTCTATAGTTAAATAATTCATTTTAATATAAGCATATTAATATTAAAATAACATCTAAATAAAGTGTTCACATAAGGAGCAAATTAATACCTTTGAAAACAAAAAACCTTGAGTCAGAGACTAAAATAAATTATTATCCAGAGACAAAGAAAAAAAAAAAAGGCCTTTAGGTTATGCTTGGTATAGCATTCATTGCTATACTGTTTGAATGCCTCCCTGAACAATATTAGACTCAAGTTTAAGAAGCAGCTGTTACAAATTAAAGGAAAATAAAACAGTTGAGGAAAAAAATTGGCATGTGGTTGCAAGTGTAAAATACTAACTTTTTAAAATATTTTAAAATGAACGACAAAACTTCCAAAGGGCTAAAATACAACAGATATTAACTGGCTACTTTTTTTTTCCACCTCCATTTGCCCTCCTCCTACAAGAGGGTATAATCCATAGCAGAAATCCAGCAGGCAATCTACCATTTCTGCCAAGGGACACAATTTGCATCTTTACTAAAGATAGTCCACATCTTTATACTGCAAGATTAGCAATGTCCTGTCAGAATTTGCACTCTAAATCTGTAATCTTCGAATGGAAATTAGTTATAAAGCATTTTTGCATTTTTCTGTATATTTTTGCAATATAGCTTCTAGATACTCCTCTTACTCCATATAAGAGGAGTGCAATAAAGAAAATAACTCTCACGGAGACACAGGCTAAACAAATATGGTAAGAACTTTCTGGTACAGACTTTAGATTGTATAAAAACATAAAACCAAACAACTAAGATTTAGACAGCCTCCTGAAATATCTGTAATAAAAATATACTAATGTACTAAAATATACTAAAAATGTACTAATTTCTGATCACAGAACCGGAAGTTACAATTGATCTGTCCATTTTTATTGTTAGAGATAAGTGAGTTTAAATATGACTACTGGGATAAACTAGATCAAAGAGGATCCTATCATAAAGTTAGGGTTATTAACAAAAATATTGTAAAAATATAACCTGATAGTGTCCACTTAAATAATGAGACATCCAAATTATAGCTTTGCAGGATCAATTCTTTAACTCAGCATTCTGTCAAACATTGTCTTCTGATATTAGCTTGTATCTCATACATGTACTGTTTTTCATTTTCTTATTCTTGGTGATTCTCCATCTTCTAGCTTTGCTGCTCCATTGATGACGTGAGCTGTAATTTTAAATAAAGAAAAATTAAAATACAGTAAGTAGAAATACAACTTATTCTCACATGAAAAACCCAGCAATTAGACCAGGGGAAAAAATCAAGTATTTGTTAACTTCAAGTTAGGTACCTAACATGTTTAAGAACTTTGGCTGTATGAAGTTACTAAGAATAGGAAATCAGACAGAATTTGCTTTTAAGTCTAGTCTCCTATCTGCAGCAGTGAGCAGTAGCAGATGTTTCAAGATGAATATTAAAAATACGGCAAATAAAGGGCAGCCCTACCAACATAACATCTCAGATTCCAGGGGATCTTTGGCAACTTCCTGAAGTCTAAGCTGCATTTAGATCATTGTAAGGTGTTGACTGCAACAAATCATTGACAAAAGTATGAAGATCTTTCATGAGACATTAATGCCACTCTGAAGTCTATTGTTGTGTATACATAGATTATATTTCATTTTCCCTCCCTCCATAATATGCATTACTTTGAGTAGCTTAGTTTAGGAAATGCATTGTAGATTATGAATTTAGGTTTTCGTTCTTGTTAAAAAAAAAAAAAAAAAAAAAAAAAAAGGCAAACCATTCTCCATGTTTGCAAGATCACTCCACAACGCTCTCCTGTCAGGCATCTGAAGTTTTGTCTCATTGGTAGGTTTTGTTACTTCACCAATTTGTTTATGAATACATCAGTATAGAAACTTGTTGGGGCCCACTGATAAGCTCTGTCTAGAGTGACAATTGATTATTGTCATTATTTAGACAATTGACTATTTTTATATTTTGAGTAATTACTAGTAAGTATTGATCAACATCTCTTCTATGATGCCTTAGTTTAACAGGTATCTTTTTTTTCCATTATTTCTTGTACCAATCTTAGTGATTCCTTTAGATTTTTTCTTTATACAGCATTCTTCCACCAGTAAGGAAGGTGCTATCCTAGACAGCTTGCCACTTCACACTTAACAGCTTTCTCTGTCACTAGCTTAAGAAGTTCAGGCCATGGCACAAAGAAAAGGTGTAACAGTACAAATGGAACTAAGTAGCGTATAAATGGTATGAAATTTCACAATCAAAGTCATATAATGTCATTTATTAAAAGACTTTTTCCATATGTCCTTTGCCAGTTAGGATGTCAGGGATGTTCCTTTGGAGTTCTTTTTTGGTGGGTTTGATGTTCTTTACATAATACATCTCTACATAGAAGAACAAGTGAACAAATTTAATTTTAATGATCTGAAATTAATAGAATATATAAGATATAGTAGGGATTTCAGACGATACTCTTCTCATTAAGTTAAACAATTTTTGAAGCATTGGAAAGATTTTAAAGATAAAAAAATAAACATTAAGCCCCATTTCATGAACTGTTCCTTGCATTTAGATTAAAATAGTCTTCAATGAATAACACTAATCATGAAGATCACCCAAGGTTAGCACTAAATATAGGCAGCACTCTGAGTGCTGTCCTGTTGACAATTACAGAACATGTCCTAACTCCTGAAGAAGCTACCATGTTGTGTATATTCTCTACACACCAAGAGACAGATGCTTTTACTCTTTATGAAAAGATGATGATGCAACTTGTATCAAACCATTTGGTCTAGAAAGAACTTAAAATGTTATGCCACTGACCTCTGTTTAGTTCCTTTTTTGTCAGTTTGTTCTTTGTGTTTGTTATTTTCTTCTTTGGAATTTGCTTCTTAATATGCTCTCTCCATTTCTTCAGCTGAAAATTTATAAATTTCCACATCATCCAGGCCTGCGTTAAACAAACAGCACCCAGGCAGCTAATCCTAATGAAATTTAGGATTTTAGGGACAGTTAGATAAAAGGTTTAGTTATTCATTAACAGACTATAAATCTGTCCTTATTTTTTTTCCCCAGAAGTCTACTATTAAAACAATTTAAATCTCCATACCACAGGAAACAGATCTATCAGAAGGCTTTACTCAAGATAAAGTGCATCACACAAGAAATGAATGAGCACTGTATGAAAGCATACTGATATCAGCAATCATGTTTATCAAGGAGCTATGACCATAGCTTTCAACAGCCAATAGTAGAATGTGTGACTGCTTGCCAGAAAGGGCTTCAATCTATGAATGAAAAATCATAGAGATTAAAAATCCCTCCCACATACTAGATTGCAAGCATTGATTTATAAGGTGAGCATTAAAGTGATGAGTTCATGATGAAAAAGTAATAAAATTTCAAAATGAACACATACAAAAATATTTTTAAAATATGGGTATTATTATTTCCAAATGATACTACGTCCACAATATACATAGGAGAAATAAATAAACAATTCAGTTAAAAAAGAAGACACCCCTTTCTTCTTTCACACATATCCTGTTCTACTACTACTATGAAAAAAAAAAAAAAAGATAGAGCACAAAATTCCCTTTTCCTTAAATAATATAATGGAAAGGTGTCAAACAGGGAATTTTTTCAAAACACTGTCCACTTGGACTGTTTTAATAAAAGATATTTTGAAAATGTCACATTATACAAGCATTAATTGATGTCTACTAGCCTTGTTATACCTCACACTGAGTACATTGAAGTTTCCATCTGCTATGGAGAAACCTGGATTCTCTACTTTGGCCAGACCAAATCCAAATGTGAGGACGGATAAAGTTAGGGTCAGAAGACGCACCATTACGAAAAGTAAAGCCCAGACAGTAAATCTGAAAACAAAATAATGAAATTAATGTGCTTTCCCTGTTTAACCCATTTTTTTTCAATAAACTCAAACATACAAAGAGCTTTTCATTAAGCTCCTCTCAGTAACTACAGAAAAAGCCTACAGAAAGGCCCAATAATTACAGAAAAACTGACTTGCAAAACATTCAGTACTGCTTCAAGGTGTTAAATACAGAAAATGAGCTTTCACTGGGGAATAGGGGGCAACTTTTTGCTCTAGGATGTGAGAGAAGAACCCCGAGTAACAGAGTGCTATTAAAAAGATAAAAATAAATGTATAAAAATCAGTATTATTACTGCCATAAGATAAAGATTTATTTGGAAAAATACTTAATATCAAATGACTGATGAATTAAATGGATTAAAAAGGCACTATCGGGGGGGGGGGCATAGTTGCTTATTTAATCATTAGAATTATAAGACAGGAAAATATTTTTCTCCTAATCAGTATGTTTAGCCTTTATGCTTTTGGATGTTATATAATGAAAAGCAGGTAACCTCCTACCTCCAAAAACCTCACAATTAAATAGGATATACAAATGAAAAATCACCTCTCCCACTTCCCCTATATGCATTCATAAACACCAATTTTCTGAAAAGAACATTCAGCACACCTATTTAAAATGCTGGTTTTAAGGAATGACACGAATGCGTCCGGTGAGAAGACCAGAAAGGGAAGCAGCACTATACTACCTCAAAGGAGGCTGCTTATACATAATTGATTGCATGAAAGAAAGCAAGGTGTTTATGATAATAAACTGGTCAGAAAATGGAATAATATGAAGCAAGAACACATAAATGGAACAATGTTATTTATTTTTGTGTTTTGTTTCTTTTCAAGTTAGAACCTCCAAAAGTCTTTGCATTCAAATGGCAAAACATACCCTATCCTTCTTAGCATGCTTCTGTTACATATCTCTGTTCTACATCCCATTTCTTTCTCAAATTCATTACTTTCATACCCATTATTCTCAGAATAGTTAAGAACCTTACTCGAGAGATATATATATAATTGAGAACACCTTATCAGCTACACATTTTTAGACATCACCTCCCTTGTTGTACAGTTACTTCCCTTCTGCACCTTAACTATAAAGGAGAGAGACCTGCAAGAATTCACAGGGAATGTTGCTTTTATTAAAAAAAAAAGAATTGATAAAGTCATCCCTACATACAAGTATTTATGGACACATAAGTAAACCGGCATCATATAGAAGCAGAAGCCAATATATATCTCATATGGGACTTCAACAAAAAGCTCAGGCAAACTCTTACGACGATGATTATGAGGTGGTGTACATGTATTTGCTTCTATGTCTATGCAATTATGATGACTTCTTTTGGAATTCAAAGCAGGTAACATTACACATAGAACACAAGACTTCTTACCTAAGTACTTTTACATACATTGAAATCCACTTATAGACAATTAGTAACCAAATTTCTGAATTTTAATTAATACATGAAAGATTTACCCTTTTTGCTTGTTTTCATCACTGAAGTAGAAAAGACGTGAAGCATGAAAAATGAGTTCCACTAAATAGTGAGGTACCATCAGAATTAGCCCCAAACGCTGCAAACTATAAAACAGAAAAATTATTTATTTTTTAATTTAAGTATGAAGAAAATAGATACACTGATTGAAAATGAACATGTAAATACTTACTTTAATATATAGGCACCAGAGATATGAGCAATGTAAAGGCAAATATAACATAGCTGCCTTGGAATATCTTCCTAAAATTGGAGAAATTATATTAAGTGCTGTTATGGTTTCACTATATTATCCAAAGAAAAAGCACATCATTCATTAAGTTTGATTATTTTTCATACTACTGTGCAAGTGTCTGGAAAGAACACCTGAATGTGAAACTACAGAATGCCTGTACAAGTTACCTAGGAATGCAAGAAAATAAAATACATAAATGGTAGCATCTAAATAACTGCATATACAAATACAAGCAATATAAACAAATATTAATATGAATAATTTGAAATGAATATGTATTTAACTAACTGTACTGATGAGTTCTCTCCATACCTTTCGGATCTTCTGAAAGTATAGTTCTGACAGTGCGTGAAGCCAATAGGCTATCTGGCAAATATAGAAGAATTTTACCTGAAAACTAAACAATAATTCAGATGAAGAAAACGAAAGCTTGAAAACTCACCATCTTTTAAAATGAGATAAATTTTATTTCATTATCTTAAAATACGTCATTCTGACTCATTATACTTTATGATTCCCAAATCATGGGAACTGCTAATATAAAACAAACCTGTGATGACAGTTTTTTTGAATTAGAGTTCATAAGCTTCTTGATAGCAAGTTCTCGGTCACCTTTTAAGACAGTAAGAAAGAAAAAAAAGACCCTAAAAACCAGAAACAATGTATCATGTGAGCAGTAAAACTCACTTCTTAAAAATTAGTATGATCTCCCTTCCTTCTACCACCTTTGCCAGGAAACAGATGAGATGAAAAAGAAAAAGGCCACACAATGAGTTCTGTAAGTCATCTTGACAGTAATCAAAAATCAATTAAGCTCTAAGTCCTGTCTATTAACCCACTCACAAATATACATTTCTTGAGTGTAGAACAGTTCATCAGTCCTATTATAGGTCCCATTTTGCAAAGAGTTTCACCTTGTCAGCAACCACAGTTAATTTAAATGTAAAGGTAAAAAGACATGCGAGTATCTTTTAGATTTTTAAATTATCAAAAATTACCTTTGGATAAACAGCCATCAATTTTAAAACAAAAGAAAGGATTTTCACTTAATTGTCATTCTTATCAAGTACCAATGTCACTACCTTAACAGCAGTCCCTAAAATTTTGGGCAGGGAAATATCCAGTAAGTAGAAGCACCAGGTTTTCCAACTGAAAATAGAATACTTACAGCATACGAGAATGGGGATAATCTTTCCACAGTAACGTTGGGTTCACCGTGAATTCTTCCTAAAGAAAAAGGCCATTGATTTAAGGACCTTCTTAATCCTTCAAGTCTATTTTTTTAAAATAAAAATAGCAAATAGAGTGACTTACTTACTGCATTCAAAATACTGGCTCCCCATACAAATGAAAATAAGTAGAAAAATGCTAGCTGTCCTGATTCATTGAATTTGCTGTGTTTTGTTTTTGACAAATGCAGACGTCTATTAATTTTCTAGAAACAAAAAGATGAACAATACATTTAATTTCTAAGACAAACAACTATTTTGGAGTTAGTGTCCCCTCTTAATTTCTTAATTCCCAGATCTCCCATTCCTTAATCAAAATGCATAGTTCCCACTATTCAAAACCTTAATCTGCGCTTTATACACCAATTTGCTTTACTAAGATTTGCCACACAGAAAATGTTGAGATATGTTCAAATATTTTTTCCCTATAATCATATTGATAAATGTTTCTAATCTATTTGCACACAGAAATCAGTTGAGCTTCTGTGGTTCAAATGATCTACACGTGAAGATATTCCACAACCATTTAACAATAGACAGAAAAATAGAAAAATTGTTAGCAACTGATGGCTAAAAATAACATTTAGAACAGGGAACTACACACCAGTAATGAACTTACATCTAATATGTAGTCCTGGATTACAGCATGCAGAATAATAGCTATGAGCATGTAGAAGAAGATTGTAGCAATGTCTTTAGGACCATATTCATAAAAATTAACATGTTCACTCTTGTCATCTGGAAACGAAAAAGTGTATTTTTTACATTCTTTGAAGAAATACTCTGCAACCAAGAAAAGGCAGCAGTGACCACTGTTCTTGGAAGTTACAGTAAACTGATACAAGAGACCAATTATTTTCTGGTTTTGAAAATTATTTTTTAAGCCTGATTCAAATAACCTACATCCTCTTTTCCTTCAATATAGTGATATAATTATAAACCAGGAATGAACTATTGAGAGCAGCAGACACTGAGCCATAGCCTCAATCCATTTTCTTCATCCAGACCATCAAAACAAACAAACAAAACATCTTACACTCTACATTTTGGTAGAGAACCAAACAGATTCGATTTTAAGACTGATGACTACACTTAGAAAAAAAACTACATAGTGAGGATAGTATCCATAGTCATTTGACACATTGGTAAATAACAAGCAACTTCTCTCTCTTTTTAAAGAGATGCTGCATATTTGCAAAATAATTTTACTTTTACAGAAGTAATATATGTTCCTATAAATCAAAAACAAAATCACTAGAAAAAAGAATATTACTATTGTCACAAGTACTTCAAGTGCTCACATTTACAATGTTTAAGTGTAGGAGAAAATATATATGAAATTCAATTTAAAAAGCACGTAGAAGGAGCAGTAGGCTTGAAGAAGGCGTATTTTGTAGGGATGTCTCTCCTTTGGCCTACAGGCACCCCTTACAACAGCTCCACCTTTCTTCACACATCTTTGAGACAACAGAAAAGTAACTTGCACTTCAACTGCTGAAGAACCACACTCATCCTGATTTCCAGGCTAGCCTATCTACTATTTAGAATCCTCTGCTTTTGTCTAAGAGAGGACACTGAGTTGGATGTTTCAGCTGTCACTTTTCATAAACATCGAGGAATTAAAAAAAAATTTTTTTTGGTCTAACTATCCTTAAGACTATCCTTTGACAAATAAAAAACAGCAGAAATATGGCCATTTTTTCTAAAGGATATTAGGCCAGAAGGTGTCAAGAAAACAATTAACTGCTTCCCATAACAGGGATGGCACAGGTACACACAGTACATTTGCAGAATTCTAAGTGTGAAATGTACCATATCCATATTTGAAAACAGCCTGTGATATAATCAATGAACAAGTAATTGCCTATCAAATGCTGCTTCTGTCTGCACTATTTTTCAAAAGAGACATTCACTAGTGATATATTCCTGAGTCAAAACCTCAAGAATTCCTGGTGCAAAACTCATCTAGATCTTCTGTTAAAACCTGACCACACAATTGTACACATCTATACACACACATATACACCAAACACTATGAAGAGGTCACATCACAAACATCTTTATATCCGCAAATGGATTTTACTTTAGCCTCTGTTTTAGGAGATTTCTACCTGATGCTGTTCAAATATCAGTAAAATATTTGTATTATAAAAGTGAAGTTTTGAGAGCAGGGAAAAAAGATAACTTTTAACAGTTGAGCTCTTCCATTACATAGAAACAAAATAGATTTGATTTAATCTTACCAATGGTATAGGTGACATTGTACTGCACAGTAATAAAGATGATGACGTACTTGGCTGTGACCTGGAATTTTGAAAGAAACAAGAAAAAGCTATCAGATTTTTCAAATAAACTGGACCATACAACAGCTAAAAGTAGAAGATTATGCCATCAACAAATGTTCTTCCACTTTTAATTTAAATCAGCAAGGTCCCCAAAGTGTTATTCATCTCTTACAAATGGAGAGGTTCACCTTGTTGCAAATCCTTCAACATTTGCTGCGTAGGGTCAGGACTTGAATTATGTCTTTTTAGCTAAGGATCAAATTACTCACTGTTCTACTAAATAACATTTTAAAGTGTTTAAAAGTGTAAATGGCTTTTATTTATTTCAAAAGTTAAGACTCTAAATTAATCCAGATAGGAAGTTTCACACAACCTTGCAAGATATTCAAAAAAGCGATATACTGGCTAAGCCTCTGTATAAACAAATTGAGTATTCAAAACATCACAGTAGAACTGTAAGACTCACCTATGAATTTTTGTCAATCAAGCAAGAAAAAATAAAGATTTATCTTAGAAATAAGATCAACAGTAACCAATGGTATACTTTTACATTACTTTTTCCTCTGGTGGCAAGACTATTAAAAAAAAAAAAAAAAAACCTACACCCAGTGCTTTCAGCCATCCCCAGTTCCTGATAATGTCTTCCCATTTCCATCCTCCAGTCTACATAGCCCTTAGCTATGGCAATGGAACTGTTTATAATCTGGATTACTGTATGATCCTACAACTGAGTGGTAAGAGGTAAATGTTTGCTTAGTTAACTGAAAACATTTCATTATCTGGCTTGCACAACTTCAAAAACAGCTGTGTTGATCTAACTGATAAAGTGATGAACTGTAACAGAGATATAAGTGGAAGGGGAAACAAACAACTGCTTCTTTTGGTGCAAAAAATGCAATACGGAATTATATCCTGCACCACCATAATGAAAACATTTTTTTACACCTGCAAGCAGTCAGTTGTCTAGGTAATAAATCAAAGAAGGGCAACAGGCTTCATCTGATAAATGATGTGAGGTAAGAGAATACATTCTTGTACCTGTTATATTTTCTCTTAAACTGATCTTCACAAACGTGAATTAAATGAAAAAAAAAAAGAGAAAGCTATTTTCACCAGGTGTTACACAGTCTATTTTCTCAAAGTATAACTGAAAACATCCAGGATTACATAAAACAAGCATCCATTTAACCAGCTACAAATCAAACAAGTGGCACAAAAATGCAAAAGAGCCTCTGTAACAAAGGGGGAAATGGCGTATCACTGCAATACACTGCATCCATGAAATTAAACAGTAGAGTCATAATCCTCACGAGTGCTTTTGAAATGAATTCTCATTAAGGAAAGAAAAAAAAAAAAAAACATTTATTCTGGCATACAAAATTGACCATCAGACACTAAAGTCCCAAAAATGATTTAACCTTGTGTAAGCCAGTGCTACCATCAAAAGGAGTGATCTTGCTTTTCTCTTGTCTGCCAGTTGCTTCTTGTCTCTGTCTGTTTGTGCTATCAAAAGTAGTGATGTGCTGAACTGGACAGTAAAATTATACAAAGTAAAACAGACCCAGCCAAACAAAAGGGAGGAGAAAACCCTACTAATTATAACACAGATGTATTTCCTAACATGCTGCGCTACTCAGCTGTGAAAGTTCTTTCATGTGCTCAGTGGTGAGAACAAACAGCGAGAGCATCACCAGCGTAAAGTGTGCACGGAATGAGAGCATAACAAGTCCATTGACAATTCTCCTGGAAAGACAGGGAAAACACAGGTAATTATATAGGGACTGATATCACCAGCACCAAGCTAAAACTGAACCGTTTGCTTTCAGTAAGTCATCACCCAGGACCCACAGCAACACTCTTCCTTGCAGAGAGGCATTCTCACAGCACCATGCAACTTCTGCCAGATCCCTTAATTCAGGACCATGCCTCCTCCCTCTCACTGTACATGCCAAAATGAGAACAGCGACGTGGTCAATGGTTGTGGCTCTCTCTGCTGTGCTGCCTTCTGGGACTGTGGATGACTGCAGGCTGTGAGAAAAGCCTTATTACAGAATCCAGAGCAGCTCAAATGACAAAGAGAATAAAAGGAGCAATCTATAAAGTAAATGGGTGCATAGCTTACAAATCTAACCGTTAAACTTGTACTTCACATTTTACAAAATACCTTCTTCATATTTACTTCATTAACATAATTCCTGTTACCCTACACATTCACTTATTCATCTTACCTTATTCACTAATTCATCTTATTTCACTCTAAAAAGAATTGAAATCATATGCTTCCTTTAGTGGAATCCACTCAAGTATTATGATCATATCCCAATGGCATACCAGGAAGTTAGTTCTCCTATGGATAAGCTCTCTTTTTCTAAATGCTCTTTGGGAGAAGAGGGTAGTAAGCATCTTTGCAAGAGCCCAGCAGGTTAGCTTGTCTGTTTGTCCATGAAGCATACAACATGACACTACAAATGCTCTACTCTACTGGAAGTATTGGAGCCTAATTAAGTGGTATTCTGTGGTAAGACAGCCATGGATATAAGGATGATGTAAATTGTTCTAAGAGGAGGAAAGAAATCACATGAAGCTTCCTCTTAAAAGATAATAGAGGCTTAAGAAGAACTAAAATAAAGGTTTCTTTAGAAGACAAGTGTCACCCTGTTTTCAGGAAAAGAAACAGTATTGGGCACATAAGAGACTATGAAGTTTCTCAGAGAAAATAAAAACTACTATTTTACCTGTTGTTTTTTAACTGCCACTTTTCAACATGTTATAAAGACAGCGCATCTCCTTACACACATCTTTAGACCTCATTATAATCAGCAAAGTTAAGGTATGGGGAAACACAATTAAGGTGGATAAACAGTCTTAAGTATAAGAGTTTCCTTTAGAGAAATTCTTATAATTCAATTTATAGCATTCCAGTGCTCATTTCTAACTTTAACACACTTATTGTTTTTTCATATGGTCTTAAAACTACGAGCAAAAGCCATCTTGAAAAGAAAACCCTGTATTTACCACAAAACTATGCAACCTTGAGCAGATCATTCAATAGTTAATCAACTGTGATAAGTCTCATTTACACTTTCTTTGACTTATTAGTGTGTAACCCCAAGGTACCACAGGTTAGGTTTGGACATCTATTATTGACAGCTGCAGCTGAAATCACAGAAAGCATAAAATGCAGTGAAAAGCATTGACTAAAAAGACAAAAAAAAAAATGTAGTCCTTCAGTGCTTCAAACTTAAAAGTTAAAAATAATTTCTCTTTAATACAGACAGGAAATCAAGACCAAAAGAAAATAGAAATAACAGCTGTGTAAGCAAGTCCAGTAATACTTACGAAGCACTCAATATAGAAACATAATAAATGTCACCAAAAAATACTGGAAGAACATCAGTAGTTTTGTTTGTTTGGCATAGACTGAATTACAGATTATAAAAATGGTCTAAAACCTCCACAGTGAACAAATGAAATATAGATTTAATTCACATAACTCTCGCATTTATTTACAGTTTTGCTCTGTATGAGACAGATCTAATACAGAAAAATCTGGTCGTAGAATGAAAGGATGTATAGGGTTTTTTAATATAGATTATAGCAATATGAGTATTTATCACCTGTTACATAGCACCACTGTTCCTTGCATAACACCTGAAAGCTATCTCAATCCACAGAGTATTTCTGCATCAAAAAGTAGATGCACGTTTAAATTATACAGTAAGTATATTCAAACACTCAGTATAAAAACACATCACATGCCACCCTTGAATATAGTCTGCAGAATGTTGAACTTTGAGAGTTGTACTGAGTAGGAATTAATTTACTAATCATACTTGGATGTAACTAATATCAACTCTCCTTTCTTCCTTTAAAGAAATCACCTTCATCAGAATAATGATGCTGACCCCGGGGGAGTTGCAGAGTCCCTCCAAATACCTGTAGAGTTACAAGAACACGACCTCTGCATCATATACAAAGCCTGCACAAAGACAAATGGAATTTGGAGACTGAACTCAAAAAATAAATTTTTTTGTTGTTTTAACGGTAGAAAGACACAGGTCAATACCAGTTTAGAAGTAACATATATCAAGATACATTAAAAGTTCCTTTTGGGATCCCGAACAGGGTTTACATTATCCCATGTGCCGGCATTTACTTCTGTTCTCAAAGCCTTTATCACCCAAGTTGTTAAGCTCCTAGCATTTTTATCATTTTTTTTTTTATATCCCAAGACTGAGTTCTGCATTTCATATATAAACTTCTATACCATATTCCTCCACAGATAACAAAACATTATTCCTCAACATCAGTTCATCCCCATTTAGAAGGGAATTATCTATACATCACAATTGCTTTCTCAAAAAAGTGATCAACAGCATATAACTCTTTTCTGTCCGAATTTAACCGTAATTATAAATCCGATTGTTCTGAACAAAAATCTCATCCAACTGGCAGAAGACATTGAAATATCTCTGTGTAGTATTTGTCTATTCAGCTTAACCTCTATTTACCAAGCCTTATCCGTTACTCCACACTAGCGTAACGTGTTTACTCAGTAGCACACACTGAAGAGTTCTGTCACAGAAGTGGGAAAAACATGCCAAATACAGCAATAAAGGGAGCAGCGGTGCAGAAGTGTGACTAATAGTTTTTAACTACCATCTGATTAAGCATACTTAAAAACTGGTGGTCTGAAACCCTCTTTACAATAGTGTTCCTACTTGTTTTACCACGTGGGCATTTGAAGAGGGAAAAGTTCAGAACAGTCACAACAAAGAGACATGCAGTGACTTTGCTCTGTGTGAGAGGCATTTTTCTCATAATGGAATTAAGTAGAAGGGAGCTTGTGGGAAGCTGTTAGGAATCAAGGTGCAAACGTGAAAGAGAACTGGACGAGAAAGAAAATAAGAGAGCAGCCAGCACAAGGGTTGAAAAGTGCGAATAGGAGCTGGCAGAGAAGGCAGCGGAGAACTGAGGGGGAGCTGAGGGCGCCCGGTCCAGGTGCACAGAGCTGGGCGTCGGGGTGAAGAACCACGACCAAAACCCTGCAGGGATGAAGGGAAAGGCAGACGGGGCCAGAGGAGCGGGGCAGAGCCCCCCAGCCACAGGGCTGAGGCGCAGAGGGGACTCTGAGGCGGGCACCCCAAAGCTACTGCCCCACAGCAGGACCGGGACCAGTCACCGCTCCCCTCAGCGGCCGACGGCCGCCTCGCCCCGCCCTGTACCTCGAACATCAGCCCCAGCAGGATGCCCACGGCCAGGTAGGACGCGGCGTCCGCGTGGTTCTGAAGGACGAACTCGGGGCTGAGCACCGGCGGGCTCCTGCCCTTCCTGCGGAGCCCCATGGCGCCCGCGGCCCCGTTGAGGGGCGCGGCGACTCCCACCCAACCGCCTTCACCCCACACACGGTAAACACAGCCAGCCCCAGGGCCCGCCCCCTCCTTGGTTTTAACCAATCAAGACGAAGGAAGCCATGAGTGGCGGCGGTGGAAGCTAATGGTTAGGCGACTTGAAAGAGCGGTTTTTAAGGGGGTGAAGCTTCGTGAGGCGGTTGGGCGTTCGCGGCTGGAGACGGGTGCGGAATGAGTGACAAGGGCTCCTGCCAATCCCATACGTGGGTGGGTGGGGCTTGGGCGGGGGGCGGGAGCGGCGGGGAGCTGAGGGGGTTCCCGCCGTTGAGGGGTGCCTCGCGCGCTCGGGTCTCCTCGCGAGGCTGAGGCACAGAAACCTTCCCTGCAGCGGCTCCTCTGCCTCCCCTCTGGAGAACAGTCGGGATTCTTCACCCCTCGTTAGGCAAAAGATGTTGAGAAGCCCCCTTCGTTTCCTTTTTTTATTCCACTCTCACTTTGAAGTGGAGAGAGAACGGATTCGTGGAGTTCTGAGGTGTTAAAAATACATAAATTTGTGTATCTGCTGGTTCTATATGGAATTTAGTGGGAAAAATGGAGCAATTTATCAGAAATAAAAATCAGCTGGGGAGAAGGCCAAGGGACAAGTAAGGCCTCAGACAGAACAGGAAAAAGGGAAAATCAAGTTGTGCCTGGCCCCAGCTGGCTTGAGGAAGGGCAAGACTCACCTGGATCCAGTTGCCAAAATTGCACCTAAAATTTGGATCCCCTGTAAAGCTATTTTGGCTACTTGTTGGTTATTAAATGTTTAATGCTTCCCTAAACAGTTTTGAAGTATATATGCTAGAGTCTGCTTTCTGTTAAATGTTCTGCTGCTGAGCTTGGCTATGCTCCTATTCCTTTTCCCACCTCTATTTTGAGTTTCAGACTAATGTTTTCAGAAACTGGGTTTTATATCTTAAGAATTTCTAAAGAGCAATTGTACAGCAAAAATATGCTGCCATGCATGTTCTTCTCCTCAGCTGAAGAGGCATATTTGAAATAAAATACTTCTAGTGATTTTTTTACAGTGGTTGATTTTTGATGAAAAATGTAAAATAAAATTGAAAGAATGTCAGAATTACTTACCATAATTGCAGTTTGTTTGTTTTTTAGCTACAAAAATTAGTCATGTTTCAAAACAATTTTTTCTCCCTGGAACGTCCAAAAGAAAGAGGCAAATAATGATAAATAGAAATGGAAACCAAAAAAAACCACAAACTTGGTTTATGATTTTATAACCCAGAATGTACTAATCTCATTAAAAACATTAGCATTCTTTTTGTACTGTAGCAGAGTGCACAAGCCAATTTTATTTTATTTTTTTCCCCTAGGAATATGATTTTCTAAAAGATCAGTGTCTTTAAGGCCTTAAGAATTGTTCTACACCTGTATAGCTTCTAGATTTGTAGCTTTGTAGATAATTTACTTTTAACATAAAATTCAGATCTCATGCTGAAGTTGTAAACAAGCACTAGTTTGAATTTATCACTTATTAGTCTCTTACGTACATGTATGCTTTCTGTAGGAGAAAGTAAGTTTTAATATTTTAATCAAGTTTAAAATTTATAATTAGTAATTACACTATTTTAGAGCAACGAATGGCAAGGAAGGTTTAGATCATGAGCTATAATGAGATAATAAGGTATGATGATTAAAGTAATATTAAGCTAGCGTTCAAGTTCATACCACAAGAGCTATCTAGTAAGATATATATATATTGTTTTTTAAAATAGACGTATGCTGTATGCTTAAGAGTATATCACTGTTGTCTACAATGTTCATTTTGATTAACAAAAGCCTTAAAACTATTCTTTTGCAGTAAAACATTGTGTGTGGGATGCAAGAAAAATCAAGATGTAATGTTGCAGGCCGCCATTTTACTCCTTAGAACCTGTGGTCAAGTTTTCTTTTTCTTTTCTGAAATTTGATGGCAGGGTCATGTTCAAGCAGTTGAAGTGACCCCTTCTACCTATTAAAAGTATGCGTTTTCAGTAGATGTCTAAAGTGCTGAAGTCTTGTCTTTGGCATGTAAGTAAATCCTATTTCTTAAAGTACTGTACATACATGTTTAAAAAAAAAAAAAAGAGAGGGAGAGACAAAATAAACCCTATATTTCTGTTGCTTGCAAGTAGTTTTCTGAGATACATTTCCAGAATTTGTTATTTATTTGGAAACTGAGATAACTGTTTGGGCCTGCATACCGACAACCCACGTATTTTTCTGGCTACCAACTTTCCTGCCTGGTTTATAATTCTGTGTTTTTGTTGTTTGAACGATTGAGTTCCAGGTTTAAGGACCCAAGATTTCTTTACATCTTTGATTCCACAATTCTGTGTTATACGTGGGCACATATCAAATACAGCCCACCTTGTCATTTTGAATGTCCTACCCTTTAAACAAATGAGCTTTGCAAACATAGTTATTCTTAGATGATTTTTTCCATTAAATGAGTAAACAAAACAAAAACAGCCTCTCGTTAAGAAAAGATTATGGTCTAGCCTTTCTGCTTTTCTGTTGATTTATCATTTTATTTATCTAGTAAAGGAATTAAACAGAAAATTATCATTAGCCAGCTAGCTTGAGAACAGCTGCACAGGATTTGATACTTAGTCTCCTCTTAAGTTTTGTTGATTTGTTTTTCTAGTATCTAGAAAGCAGAATGAAATTAATGTATTTTGCAGAGCTGTAGAAATCAACCTGAGATCTGCTTGCTCACGCAGAAGGAACTGAGAATGACTTCTTTATTTTATGCTTCAGTTAACTAAGATGATTTAATTCGGAATTTGAGAAAATTCAGAGAAAAAAAGGTATCATCATGGGGTAAGTAAGATGGTTAAAAAATCACAAAGTAAATACATTAAAATTGGCTAAATTCTTTCCTTTTGTGTTTGTGCGTTAAAAGACAATCCAAGACTGGGATTTTTGGTAGGGTGTGGAGGTGTTAGGAATTATATAAACACAGAATAGCTAGAGACCTTTGCTAGCAGCATTTAGGATCTAAATAGACAAGATAGTTTCCCTGTGGGGAAGAACCATACCCCATAAGCATTGAGCAGTTCAGTGGCGTAAAAATGTATTGATTCTATCCTTTGGGGTGTAGGGGAGGAGAGAATACCTAAGAAAGGACTAGCTGGGAAAAATGAGAGAAGAGAGATGTGCATTCTGTAAATCATGGAAGGAGTATAGTCAAGTTTTGGACTGCCAGAGGTTCTTTGCCTTTTGCAAAAAAAAAAAAAAATAATAATAATCAAAAATGATTACCTTTATAGGTTAGAATCTACAGGTGATTTCTCTGCACAGTCTTCAGCTATAGTCACATGGCAAAAGGAAAGGAAGAATCATCTGGGTATGACTGAAGTGAGGATGATCTTCCTTTATCTGTCTGGGGCCCAGAAATACCTGAGGGAAAGGGACTAGTCTACTTGAACCAATTTGCTGTCTGCCTGTTCGTAAGATACTGGTTTTACAAGACAAAGTAGAAAAAGATCAGGATTTCCAGTCTTTGCATTTGAAAAATATTCTCTTTATGCCAAGCATTTGCCTGCACAGAATCTAGTTGTTGGAACTGAACAGAGCTCTACTGTAGTTTGAGAAGGAGAATGACAGGTACAAAGTAAAATAAAGTGCAAGATACATACGTCAGGTGTTTTGATTTATTCTGTACCTAAAAGCAAAACTTAAACAGGATGTTCTTGTTTTACACAATTGGCGTTTAATGCCAAACAAAATAAGACCCAGTAGCAACAAAATAATGATAATAATAATACATATAAAAAGGTTAAATACTAGTAGCTGAGATTAAAATTACCAGAGCCTATTAATTGTCATCCATTTGGGAATTAAGGAATTATCAGCTGAGCTAAGAAAGGAGTTTTTTCTGTCAGAGTATAATTTTTTTCATAAAAAAAAAAAATAGTTTAGTGCTTTCCTCCGACATACAAGATCCAATCACTTCTGCAGACAGGGCTTTTACCTGGATGACTGATATGCTTCTGTATGGTATTTCTTGCTTCTCTTTCTACTTCTTAAGTGACTGTAAAGCAGGCTTCTACTTTGTAAGAACTGAAACTCAGCATTTAGTCTGCCTAAAAGTTTTACAAAAATGTAGCTTTGCAAAAAGGGGATACTATTGTGTACCATTAAGTGTATTCTAGTGAATTTTGAGAACTCAGCACTACAGTTAGAGAGCAGTCTGCCTATTTTTTGATGCTCTACAGTCTCTGAAATAAAGGAAACTGTGTTAATAATGTGCAGACTAGGTCATGTAATCGGGACAGGAAAGTGAAGAAAGAATGGATTTGTGTCTCAGCCCTATAATTAAAATACTCAATGGGAGTCATACATCAAAAAAAAACCTTTACAATTAAACAACAGTTGAAGTAATTTTACTATAATATATAATTGAATAGTTATTGTAGAGCCTTAAGAAAGGCAGGAAACAAGCACTAGATTTTAGGTAGCAAGTAAGAGTGAAAAGCTATCTTGCTGTTTTGTAAAAACCAAAATTAGAAATTCAGTTCAATGTCTGCATCTGGTAATCAATTACTGGCTGTTATGCAATGATGTGCAATTTCTGAGGTGACTGATTGCAGTTTTTATTTAGAGTCTATTACGCAAATAAATACACTACTTGCAGAGCAGGTGGAACAATTCTTGCATACATTAAAGCAGTAGTGCCTTCTTAAAAGACCGTACTTCTAATACAAGCTCCTACATCTCTCTGGCTTTACACCACCTTTTGTTTCATTCCGAGGATGGTTCTTTCTTTCAACCTGCAAATCCCATTACAGTCCAACATTACATCTTCGAAGGCTATCTACTAGGTGCTGAACTGACTGCAAACTAGTTTATAACACTATATTTAGAAAGTCAATTGTAGGGTTGTTTTTTTTTTTTTTTTGTCATAAGATTTTCTAGAAAGACAGGAGCAATTGAATTAAAAATAGAATGATTGGTTTAAGGGGAGGTTATTTAGGAGACCCACATTATAGTTTTAATTTAAATTTATTTTCTGTTACTATATTGACTGTACACCAAAAAGACAGTGATAGAATGATC